AGTAGAAAGCTGAAACTGGATCCTTTCCTTACTCCTTATACGAAAATTAATTCAAGATGGATTAGAGACTTAAATGTTAGACCTAATACCATAAAAATCCTAGAGGAAAACCTAGGTAGTACCATTCAGGACATAGGCATGGGCAAAGACTTCATGTCTAAAACACCAAAAGCAACGGCAACAAAAGCCAAAATTGACAAATGGGATCTCATTAAACTAAAGAGCTTCTGCACAGCAAAAGAAACTACCATCAGAGTGAACAGGCAACCTACAGAATGGGAGAAAATTTTTGCAATCTACTCATCTGACAAAGGGCTAATATCCAGAACCTACAAAGAACTCAAACAAATTTACAAGAAAAAAACAAACAACCCCATCAAAAAGTGGGCAAAGGATATGAACAGACATTTCTCAAAAGAAGACATTCATACAGCCAACAGACACATGAAAAAATGCTCATCATCACTGGCCATCAGAGAAATGCAAATCAAAACCACAATGAGATACCATCTCACACCAGTTAGAATGGCGATCATTCAAAAGTCAGGAAACAACAGGTGCTGGAGAGGATGTGGAGAAATAGGAACACTTTTACACTGTTGGTGGGATTGTAAACTAGTTCAACCATTATGGAAAACAGTATGGCGATTCCTCAAGGATCTAGAACTAGATGTACCATATGACCCAGCCATCCCATTACTGGGTATATACCCAAAGGATTATAAATTATGCTGCTATAAAGACACATGCACACGTATGTTTATTGCAGCACTATTCACAATAGCAAAGACTTCGAATCAACCCAAATGTCCATCAGTGACAGATTGGATTAAGAAAATGTGGCACATATACACCATGGAATACTATGCAGCCATAAAAAAGGATGAGTTTGTGTCCTTTGTAGGGACATGGATGCAGCTGGAAACCATCATTCTTAGCAAACTATCACAAGAACAGAAAACCAAACACCGCATGTTCTCACTCATAGGTGGGAACTGAACAATGAGATCACTTGGACTCGGGAAGGGGAACATCACACACTGGGGCCTATCATGGGGAGGGGGGAGGGGGGAGGGATTGCATTGGGAGTTATACCTGATGTAAATGACGAGTTGATGGGTGCAGCACACCAACATGGCACAAGTATACATATGTAACAAACCTGCACGTTGTGCACATGTACCCTACAACTTAAAGTATAATAATAATAAATAAATTAAAAAAAAAAAAAAAAAAAAAAAAGACCAGACTGCCCAACATGGTGAAACCCTGTCTCTGCTAAAAATGTAAAAGTTAGCCAGGTGTGGTGGTGGGCACCTGTAATCCCTGCTACTCAGGAGGCTGAGGCAGGAGAATTACTTGAACCAGGGAGGTGGAGGTTGCAGTGATCCGAGATGATGCCACTGCATCCCAGCCTGGGCAACAGAGTGAGACTCCATCTCAAAAAAAAAAAAAAGATTTTATTCTATGTTTTTTCCAGAAGTTAGTTTGTATTTTTAGCTTTTAAAATGAGTTGATTTTTTAGTTTAATTTTGAATATGATATGAGGCAGGGGTGGAGTTTCATTTTTTTTCCCCACACAGATATCCAGTTGTTTCAGAACCATTTACTGAAAAAAAATTATAATCTCTTCATTAAATTGCCTTGGAAACTTTGTTGCAAAGCAATTGATCACATATGTGTTGGATACTCTGGATTCTCTACTCTGTTCCATTGATCTATGTACCTATTTCCTCCCACCTCCACCACCCCCTGCTCCCAAAGAAAACCCTAAAAACTTCCAGAGAACGGTTACAGGCCATAAAGCAGAGACATAATAACAGTAGCAATAACAATAATTAACATTTATTTAACCCATACTGATCCAGGTGTTGTGCTGAATAGTTTGCTAGTATTATCCTACTTAATAATCACAACAATCCTATCAGATAAACGCTATTATAAACTCAATTTTGCAGATGAGGGAAGTATAGCAAGCAATGGATACATAATCTACCCAGAGTTACACAGTTATTAAGTGGTAGAGGCATGATTTGAGCCCAGGCACTCTGATGCCTAAGCCAGTGTTCTTGTTCTTATTTACTGAAGAGTTGCTAAGAGTTTGTGATGAGAGATTATATACCACCAAAGACAGCCATAAAAGGGAAAATCTTATTTTACTAAATATATACTACTCCTGAAGCATTTTTGTCTATCTTCTACCAAAATAGTTTTGGTAGCTATTTTTGTTTAAATCTTTCATAGAAATTTTAGGCTGCCCTACGGCCAGGAAAAAATTTTTTTCTTTTTTTTTTTTTTTTTGAGATGGGGTTTCACTCTGTGGCCCAGGCTGGAGTGCAGTGGTGCAATCTTGGCTCACTGCAACTTCCACCTCCCAGTTTCAAGCAATTCTCCTGCCTCAGCCTCCTGAATAGCTGGGACTACAGGCACGTGCCACTATGCCTGGCACATTTTTGTATTTTTAGTAGAGACAGGGTTTCATCATGTTGGCCAGGCTAGTCTCAAACTCCTAATCTCAAGTGATCTGCCCACCTGCCTCAGAAAAGTGCTGGGATTACAGATATGAGCCACTGTTCCTGACCAAAAAAATACTTTTTTTTTGTTTTTTGTTTTGCTCTTGTTTCCCAGGCTGGAGTGCAATGGTGCGATCTCTGCTCACTGAAATCTCTGCCTCCCAGGTTCAAGTGATTCTCCTGCCTCAGCCTCCGTAGTAGCTGGGAATACAGGTGTGCACTACCACGCCCAGCTAATTTTTTTTTCTTTTTTTAGTAGAGACAGGGTTTCACCATGTTGATCAGGCTAGTCTTGAACTCCTTACCTCAGGTGATCCACCCGCCTCGGCCTCCCAAAGTGCTGGGATTACAGGTGTGAGCCACTGTGCCTGGCCCAAAAAAATATTTTCCAGGGATTGTTCTTTTTAAAAAGTATTCTAATTTCCTCTTGACTTCAAGTGAGATATGTACATATCTACATAAAGATTTTGAAATCCATATGGAGACATTCTCATCAAGAAAGCTCACGTAAACATGCAGATATATTCATGTCTCGTATCATTGGTTAGTCAGAAGGTCTCTATGGCTATTGATCATCGCATACGACTTAACAAAGTAGTGTTTCCTGTAATGTCTTGCTACACAATGAAGCAAAGCTGATAGCTTCACACAGAGTACTGCAGGCTAAGCAATGGAGCAACATAAGAGATCAACAATAACCTAATATTCAAATCTTCTGTTACCTTTTTTTTAACTGTTGCTGGTAAATATTTTCATTAAAAATACTTCTTTTGTGATTAAAAATGATACTTGTAGACAATTTGTAAAATAAAGTTAGGTAAAAGAAAAAAATGAAAATCACTCAAAATCACCAAGGTATTTTTATCTTTTTATATTTTATTTTTGATATTATCAAATATATATATTTATATAAATTATATAAATGATATTATCATTTTCTTATATTTAACTGTCTGCCTATCTACCTACATATTTATTTAAATTACTATCTTTCATTTATCTTTTATAAAATTGAGATAAGAAATGACTTGATGTTTGATAGATCAGTAAGGTGACTATAGTTAGCCTTGATTGTGCATTTTAAAAAAGCTAAAAGAGAATAATTTAAATGTTCCTAGCATAAAGAAAAGATATATATTTAAGGTGATATCCCAATTACTCTGATTTAATTATATGAACATATCAAATTATCATACATATCCTGAAAATATGTACATCTAATACATATCAATACAAAATTAGGATATTATAAACACTTAGGCATTCCTTTTTTAATTTATCATATCACAAACATTTTCTCATGCAATTAAAGCTACCATTTAAAATAGCCTTATGAAAATAAAAAAAGAAAAAACATTTTTTTAAACATAAATAGCCTCACGATAATCTATCATGTTGCTATACCATACTTTTATAACTATTCTCTTATTGTTATATATTTAGATTTTCTTTCTTACTTTTGTTTCAAGGACTACTACTGTGTTGAATACCTCTGTATATGAATCTTTGCCTGAGATTGTAATATTTTGGCCCTTTCCAGAATGCCACAGGGCCTGGTTTTCAGGGGTGGAGTGGGAGGCTTAATAATGTCCACAGCATAGTAAGGGCTGGATTCTTTAAACTAGGATCTAAGCTCTTTGTTGTTTATGCAAGGCCAGGGGACTTAAAATAGTCTTCCTGCCACAGGGTGGTTAAGTTGAACCAGATCTGCATTAGCTGGTAAACTGCATCCAGTTATAGATGACCCTGACCACACGCAACAGCCAGGTCTATTTTAAGCCACATTGCTAAGTGGAACAGTTGGTTAACGGAATGTGTTAGAGGTGTATCTCCCTGGCTTTGATAAATCAAAGAGACAGGATCAAAGATGACTATCCCAGCAAACTGAATACTTAGAAGTTACTCTCCCAACAATTAAGTGCCCATTTCTTCAGTGGGAAACAAGTATCAAAGGACTAAAATTTGCTTATTCCGTCTTACAGGACAAAATGCATACTTTAGGGCATACCACTGTCTACAATCAAAGGCCTGACCAATGGCTACTGAAAACAAAGGCATCAGCTGAGTGTGGTGGCTCACACCTGTAATCCCAACACTTTGGGAGGCCAAGGTGGGCAGATCGCTTCAGTCCAGGAGTTTGAGACTAGCCTGGGCAGCATGGTGAAACCCTGTCTCTACCAAAAAATACATATACATATATAAATTAACGGGGTGTGGTGGTTGGTGTGCACCTGTAATCCCAGCTACTCACGAGGCTTAGGTGGGAGGATTGCTTGAACCCAGGTGGTCAATGCTGCAGTGAGTCATGACTGTGCCACTGCACTCCAGCCTGGGGGACAAAGCAAGACTCCGTCTCAAACAAACAAATGAAAAAATGAAAAAAAAAAAAAAGAAAAGGAAGGTATCAACACAGTAATATCACATTCTATAAATGGTTAAAAAAAAGTTGCTAATGTGTTTTTAAGTCTGATATGAGCCATTCCTTACCATACTTTTGTGATCCAGCAAAGAAAGAACGTGTAAGAACAAATGGTCTCTCCTTCCCTTTAGATCGCTGTATCAGTCCTTCTGCAGTGGCCATTTGCTATATCACCAAACAAGAAAAATTTCAAAGAGATGATTGGATTTGTACAGACATTCTCAATAAGCTATCTAAAATACAAAAAGCAAACAGTAAGCAGGAGCATGAAATGGAAAATATTAAAATAAATCCATCAAATAAGTTTCATAGTATAATGAAACTACTCTAAATTCCCCTATTAAAAGAATGGAAAATTTTCTTTGGTTAACAATAGCAATGAAATAATAATAAACAATCATCTAGCATTTATTTGGTGCTTACTATTGCTAGGCACTTAATACAATTTTCTCATATAATCTACGTAACAACCTCTGAGAGACAGTTTTCATTGGCAGGAAAAACTGAGATTCGGAGAGGTTAAATGACTGGCCCTGACCTATATAAGAAAGCTCACTCACTAAAGCAGTCTACAGTTACTGCAACAGGCTGTTACAGAGGCAAACACATACTGTCTGAAAACTAGGCTTATATTTAGCCAAAAGCTCCCATTGGAAAATACCAATAGGCGAGAGGGCCACAGGAATATAGTCACAATTTGAAAATAACAAAGAACCATGGGTATACATGAGGGCAAGTGTCTGCCATGTCTTTTGGATGTAGTTGGAAAATGAAAGATAAATTTACCACCTTTATTGAGGAAGCTAAGTACTTAAGGAAGCTCTACATTTTTGAAGTATACTTATTGAAATTGTGTGTCTGTGTTCTAAATATTACTCCTCCAGTGTGAATATAAGACTTGCTGTATGTAGATATTTGTGAAATCTTACAACACTTGTTTTAATTACTTTCATTCACATATTTATACACTGCTTGCATCAATAAAAGTTTGAGGTAGTAGCCAGTGAGTGCCACTTATTAATGGCTCCTATCGAGGCAGAGGTTTTATGTTATAATTAATTTCACAATATTTAAAAGTTCATCAGGAAAAGAAAAGCAGCAAAGGGAGAAATAATAAAAAGTCTTGTATTGGCTACTACCTAACACTCATTGCAACTGTCAGAAAAGACACACAAAGAGAAATGAACAGTAGAGGATAGCCATTATATTACAAAGCAAACGACTTTCAGCCAAAAGGCAGGTCACACAAGCCCAATTTACTTCTTTTTGGATGTCTTACGTGATAAAAACCGTAGATGTTGTGGAGTTCTCTGTGCTCCCAATTGCCATGATGAATGGCATTCTTCTGCATGGTTTGCTCTGGCCCTCTAAAGACAGAGGGCTCATTCATGTCAGTCCAAAGGAAGAGGATGTCCGTAGATCCCTAGGAAGTAAACCTTGGTCATAACACTCCTACATTGATGATGTCTATATAATAGCTCTCATCATTCCTCTTTCCTACCTCATCTTAAAAATTATGTTTATTATCTATGCTCTGTCCTCTGCTCCACTGCTAGAGTTTAAGTTCCACAGGGCATGACATTTTGTCTGTTTTGTTCATTAATAAATCCCAAACATCTAGAATAATACCTGGCCCATAGACAGATCTCAATAAATATTTGCTGATGAATAAAAGAGTGCTGCCCTGTGTTGTCTGTGAAATATATATTGCCTGGCAAATTCATTCCAAGACCTCCATGCAGGACTCCTATGGGAAAGGTTGTGAATGTTCACAATTGGGCTCTTTCTCATTCATCGGATGCTACAACTCTTAACTAAGGGCAGCTACAGCTAAACATGACAAGATTCTACCTTCTCTCTAATACTTTGAAAGACTTGACAGCCAATATACCTGTTTGTTAACATGATCTATAGTTTGTATTCTACACAGAACTGTTCAATTTAGAGACAGTTGAGTCATCTAGTTAACATGGTATTGCAGAATCCCTGGTCTTTTCTAGAATCCCTTATCTTTTGGCATTTGACTGAATAGCTAAAAAGACAGGGAGTCCCTCAGGCAGCTCATTCCATTATTTTCCAAAAATCCTGCTCTTTGTACATAACATTCCCCTTGCAGAGCCTACCTAGTTTACCTTCTGAGACCCCACAGAATATATCTGTCACCTCGCCCACACGGAAGTCTTTCAAATGCCTGGAGGTGGCTTACTTGGTTTTTTTGTTTGTTTGTTTTTTAATCTTTATTTCTAAACGTGTACTTCTATGAATAAGGGTAAATGATTTCCAAATATTTAACTACCATATCTTTCCTTTAGAACCATCTAAGGCAGGGATTGGCAAAGATTTTTGGTAAAGGTACAGACAGTAAATATTTTCAACTTTGCAGGCCATGAGGTCTCTTTTTCAATTATTCAACTCTGTACTGTAGTATGAAAGCAGCCACAAATAATAGGGAAATGAATAGGCATGGCCAGATTTGGCCCAAGGCTTGTCTATCCCTGTACTAAGTTGTTTACTAGTGCCCTAATACTTGATGCCAGAAACTAGAGTTCAGTGGTTAAAAGCTGGGCTTAGGGGACAAACAGACCTGAGTTCAAATTTTGGTTCCACCACTTACTAGATGTGTGACCTTGGCAAGTTTTTAAGCTTCTCTGTGTCTCAGTTTCCTCATCAATGGGGTTAAATTTAGTTATAGTTCCAACTTCAGAGGAACTTATTATGAAGACAAATGGTATGATGCACATAAAGTCCTTAGCACAGTGCTTGGCACACAGTAAGTACTCAATTTGCATTAGATATCATCATCATCATCATCACTGCCATCATTAATATCATCATAATTGGTTGAAAACAGTTCTCCAGATGTGTCTTCTCCAGTTTTCTCTGTGGTTCTTATCAGACTATTTAAAAATCACACTTCACTTTTAATGACAAATATGTTGTAAGATATTTTCACATGTATCATCGCATTTAAATAACAGTTATGGAATACAATTTTATATAAAAAATATATATGACAATTTAAAAATATAATAAACCTCTGCTATAAAGTACTTTGATATATCATAGAGTCTATTATAATAGAGGTCAAAATCACAGCTTTTGTGCATTTGGTTATGCATATGGCACCTCTCCCAGCACCCCCAGAGTCTGTAATGTGGTGGCCACACTTGCCTTTTAATAAAAGCATTATATATGAAAAGCTACTCAATGAAAAAGAATAGTTTTATTCAATCACTTTTTCTGCTTCTTTCACTCTTTCAGGTAACTAGAAAAGAACAAAGGAATAAAAACCAACCTGATAAACCGGGAAAGCAAAAAGACTTGAATACCACTCTCTGACCTTGGGATTGGTGAAATCCAGGTAAGAGGAGAGACCTGTGGAGGCAGAACAGTAGGGAGCCTGTCAAGAACAGTGGTCCTCACAGTAAGATGCATTGTAAAGAAGATATCAGATGTGAGAGCTGGGAAATGGGCACCTTACATAAACATGAAAGTTGGCTGACACAGGCATGGTCTGTTGAGAAGTGAATGAAGGCAATGCTGGGCTCCAGTGACAATCACTAGATCTTTCAATACCAGAGGCCCAGGGGAATGCCAATGCACAAGCATCATGATGGAGCCTGTCCCTTACTGATGGCCTAAGACAGCCCAAGTAAGGATGGTAAATATCCTGCAGTGATCTCTTGGTTCTTAAAGAGAACAGAGAAGTGTGTTCAAGGGATGCAAAGGGAAAAAAAGAAAGGTACAGGGTTTCTCTACAGTGCATGGATTTATAAGCGATGGTGCTGACTCTTTATCTCTATTTCTAAACAATGTGGTGATTTTCCTTTTGTCCTTGGGGAGTTTCTACCAAGGCTTTAAATTAATAACTTTTAACAACTTTTGAAATGAACAATTCATAGTCACCAGGGTGGCTGAGGTCACTCATGAAAGCCTGGGAAGCCAAAACTATGGGCTAAAAGGGTGAAGAGCAATTACAAGGAGAGAGCTTGCAGAACCCCCTTTTCTCTTTCTCCTCCTCCGCTTTTCTTATTCCCCAACTTTTTACCACTGTTTGCTTAGAGAAACAGCATGCCACTGAGGTTTGCTTATTTTTCATTCATTCAATTATTGATTGATAAATACATACAAAGCATACAGTACCAAGTGTTATGAAAGATAGAAAAGAAGGCAATACAATCTCTTCCTTAAATTATATGCTTAAAATGTAGCTGGAGGAGCAAAAGACATCTACAAGGGAGCACAATGAGCACCATGCAGCCTTTATTAATTGGGACAGAACAAGTGGAAATAATAAGTGTATAAAGTGATTTCAAACCTGGCCAGCACACCCCTTCAAAGTCTTCCCCTTCCTGATTCTTCACAAAGAAGCCCTGATCTTTGGCCTTCACATATACTGAGTAGTCAGGATCAATCTTGATGTGGGGATCACTGATGACCACAAGCTGTCAGGACATGAAGGTTTGGAGGTCTCATCAGTTTTATGTAAGACAAATGTTCATGTATATGTTTTCACCATAGTTTGGGGGCTAAGTTTTTACAAACAACTACAACTAGTATTGAAATATTTCAGACACAAAAACAAAAACAAAAACAAAATAAGTATTTCAGACACCAGTAAAACCCTATAACTTTTCACGTGCTTATAAGAATTTCAACTGATAGCAAAACTGGGTCAATGCTGGCCAGGCGCAGCGGCTCACACCTGCAATCCCAACACTTTGGGAGGTCAAGGTGGGAGGATTGCTTAAGGCCAGGAGTTTAAGACCAGCCTGGGCAACATAGTGGGACCCTGTCTCCACAAAAAAAAATTAAAAATTAGCTGGGCGTGGTGGTGTCCACTTGTGGTCCCAGCTACTCAGGAGGCTGACGCAAGAGGATTGTTTGAGCTGGGGAGGTTGCAGCTACAGTGAGCCATGATGACGACACTGCAATCCAGCTTGAGTGACAGAACAAGACCCCATCTCTAAAAAAGAAAAAAAACAAAAACAAAAACAAAAGCAAAACAGGCCAATGCTCTTTTACAATTATTGCTGCCTAACCAATAGATGTTCTTTAAATGGCATTAAGTGTCTATCTGTCCAAGATGATGGGTGCTGCATACTATACATAGAGAACTAAGTAGGTAGGGTACATGCTCCCTAGACATTTAGATGCTCAGATAACATTGATATAAGCAAACATTAAAGAAACTAAGAGAATAACATGTTAAAAACAAATGAAGTCCCTGAGCCCAGTGGAGCAGGCATATTAGGAAGGAGATTTGAGAAAAGTTGTAAGCCACAGTGTCACGTCTCTAGCATCTCTCCATGACTTTATAATACCATCACTTCTACCAGTCTAGGGCCTCAATAACACTTTATTTGTCCAGAACACCATCTAATCCTCCTTCCTCATCTCTATTCTAATCAGTCCTGAATATTAAAGTTTAATTCTTCATTGCTCAAACTTTTTCTTAAATTTTGTTTGTTTGTTTTTTGAGACAGTCTTGCTCTGTCACTTAGCCTGGAGTGCAGTGGCATGATCTCGGCTCACTGCAACCTCCGCCTCCTGGGTTCAAGCAATTCTCCTGCCTCAGCCTCCCAAGTAGCTGGGATTACAGGTGCCCGCCACCATGCCAGGCTAATTTTTTTTTTTTTTTTTTGTATTTTTAGTAGAGATAGGGTTTCATCATATTGGCCAGACTGATCTCGAACTCCTGACCTCAGGTGATCCACCCACCTTGGCCTCCCAAAGTGCTGGGATTACAGGTGTGAGCCACTGTGCCCAGCCTAAATTTTTAAATTGTGGTAAAATACACATAACATAAAATTTACCATCTTAACCTTTTTTAAGTGTGCAGTTTAGTACTGTGAAGTATGTACATTCACAATGTTGTGTAGTCAATCTCCAGAACTCTCTCATGTTGCAAAACTAAACCTTTATACCCATTAAATAATGATTTCTCATTCCCTCCTCCCAGCTTCAGCAACTACCATTCTATAATACTTTCTGTCTCTATGAATCTGACTACTCCAATTATTTCAAATTAGTGGAATCACGCAGTATTTGTCTTTTTGTAACTGGCTTATTTCACTTAGCATTTATCCTGAAGGTTCATCCATGCTTTAATATCTATTAGAATTTCCTTCCTTTTAAAGGCTGAATAACATTCTGTTGTATGTATACACCACATTTTGTTTACATATTCATCTGTCAAGGGAGCTGCAACCCAAGCAGCTTGGGTTGCTTTGACCTTTTGACTACTGTGACTAATGCTGCGATAAACATGGGTGTATAAATATCTGTTCAGGTTCCTGCTTCCAATTCCTTTGGGTATATACCCATAAGTGGAATTGTTGGATCATACAGTAATTCCATTTTTAAATTTTTGAGGAACTATCATGTTGTTTTCCATAACAGCTGTACCATTTTGCATTCCTACCAACGGTGCATGAGGATTCCAATTTCTCTACATCCTTGCCAACACTCGTTATTTTTTTTTTAAATAGTAGTCATCTTAATTATGTAAAATGGGATTTCACTGTGGTCTTGGTTTGCATTTCCCTAATGATTAGTGGTGTTGAGCATCTTTTCTTGTGCTTGTTGGCTATTTGTGTATCTACTTTGGAGAGATGTCTGTTCAAGTTCCTTGCCCACTTTTTAACTGTTTTTCTGTTGCTGAGTTGTAGGAGTTTGTTATATATTCTGGATATTAACCCCTTATTCAAAAACTTGTAATGTTTCCAAATGCATACAAAGCAGTTTACAAAAAGGTCCCAAACTTTCTGGTCAGATCCTCCACTATTAGAACCCTCACATGCCTTGCTGTCAGCCTTGCCTGTGCACTACTTTCCGAACACCCTTAATGCTCCTTCCTCTGGCTGCACTGCCTTCTTCCCTCTCACTGCTTACTCATTAGTTAGGGACATCCTTCAGGGCTCATCTAAAATGTACTTCTAGGCCAGACATGGTGGCTCACGCCTGTAACCCTAGCACTTTGGGAGCCCCAGGCAGGCAGATCACCTGAGGTCAGGAGTTCAAGACCAGCCTGGCCAACATGGTGAAACCCTGTCTCTACTAAAAATATAAAAATTAGCTGGCCATAGTGGCACATGCCTGTAATTCTAGCTACTCAGAAGGCTGAGGCAGGAGAATTACATGAATCCAGGAGATAGAGGACGCAGTGAGCCAAGATCGCAATGTGGCACTCCAGCCTGGGTGACAGAGTGAGACTCGGTTCCGAAAAAAAAATTAAATAAAAATAAATAAATAAAATAAAATGCACCTCTGAAACAAAGCCCTGCTTAAGTCTTGAGGATACAATCTTCTCTTTCTTGGCCTGTCCCCTACCCTGACCTTTCTTTGGCCCTTATGTTACTTCCCTGTATTGTGGCTGGATACTTGCCTTTTCTTCACTCCCTGTAAGACCACAAGGAGCTCATCTCTGTATACTCTTCAGCACTAGTATAGCATCTTGAAGGTTCCTCGGTAAATAACTACTTATTAAGGACAGAAGATCTGGAGTCAGGCAGACCAGGGTTCAGATTCTTGTCTTGCTATTTATTCACTGTGTGCCTTTGCGTAAATTTTGAAACCCAGTCTAAGCCTCAGCTTCTTCATCTAAAATATGGGGTAACAAGACCTGCCTTATAGTTTTGTCATCACTGGATGGAATAATGTGTTTTATTATATTGTCTAGGCCATAATAGCTTGATATATGGTAGCTATTTATTAATTAGGAAATTAGGAGTTAAATGGATTGGCTCTGGCCATCTGTGAAAAGCCTGGTGTCGGGAGGTCAAAGGAATGGGTTGAAAAGTAAACCTTACTTTCAAGGAGAGGGACTTTATTCATTTACATGATACACATAGGGTTTCACCCCACTTCTCCTCTCTCCATTTTTTTCTCTCCTTCCATCTTTTCATTATTGCTGTTACCACCACCACCACACCTGGAACTGGAAAACAGCATTATACATGTTCCAGTGGCTTCTCTCCCTCCTCATTTTCTATTTCTGTTCTTTTTTTAGCCAGATTGACAGCTGGAGTCCACCAAGGAAGCATGTATGAAAAACAGTGTAATAAAGAATTTGATATTATATTTGATATTTGACTGTTAAGGGTTTTTCAAGCCCTGCTACTCCCCGCTTACCCTTCTGCCTGTATCTGGACAAGCCAACAATAAAGCTCTAGTGCTCCCTCCTTTGGTGCCAGCAGGGGGTTCAAACTATCTAAGCTGCAGCCTGCATGCAAGAGCCCTTGCCCTGTCCCCACCCGCTAACCACCATAAAAACTGAGTCCATCTGCTTTCTCAGTTCTCTCAAGCCATTTTCAAACTGGCTTGGGAGCCACCCCTGCTCTCCCCAGAAATTCTCATTATATGAGTAATAAACTTTTTAATTACCCTTGGTGCATGTGTGGTGTCACCAACTGAGACATGGAAACAAAATTTTGAGTGGGGGGATCATATTACTACAGGGCGGCCACAACAAATGGAACTGAAAATGCTAGACCCTTTCTTCATTATGGGGACCTAGATAACTAAGCCAGGAATGGATGGGGTCATCGCCTTTTCACCATTCATTTTCTCTCTTATCACAGTGACAATTATATTTGAATCTACTATTTTCACAGCCATTTTTTATCAGATGTTTCTCCACCATTGACGTGCCAAGGCAAGTTTAAAACATTTTTTAAAACTCTGTAATTAAAAGGTTCAGAAATGTTGGCTTATTTTACCTTACGCTTTTTGCTCCTGAGCAGCTCTTGCATCCTCTTGGGGTTTGGGAATCTTTTTTTGTCCCAGGTGAAGTACCTCTTGCCCTCAGTGTGCTCTATGTCCAGCCACATGGCATCATAAGGAATGTCATGCTCATCAAACCCTGCATCCACTGCTTTTACGTCCTGCTCATCTTCATAGTTCCAGCGGCACTGGTGGTATCCCAAAGAGAAAAGAGGGGGCATGGCTTGTGTGCCTAAAAGAGGGAGATGACAACTGAGTCAACTGCCACCGCAATGAGCATTATTCATTTGATAAACATTTCCTGAATGTCTACAGAGTATTCAGCACTGAGCTCACGCTTAGAATATCAAGGAGAAGACAGCATAGTCCTTGCCTTTAAGGAAGTGACAACCTGGCTAATGAGGCAGGAGTGTAAATAAAGCGCTCTGCCCTGAGGTATAACTACCAGGTTAACGTATCAGTCTAGTGCTACCAGAACACGGAGAGGTTAATACATTCTGCCTGCGGTGAAGTATAGGGTCTTGAAAGGCTTCACAGAGGAGATAAAACCTCGTTTGGACCTTGCAGACTAAGTAAGAATAGACCAGATAGGAAGAATAGATAGAGCATTCGGGGCACAGGGAATAGAAAAAACACAGAGGCAGAGAAATACATGACAGGTTTACAGAAAAATAAATATTCCAGGGTGTCACAGTGTGAGAAAGACCAGTAGAAGATGAAACTGAATAGGGTCAGATTGTCAAGGGCCTTGTAATTGAGGTTAGGAATTCTGAATCTTGTCTTATGAGAAGCCATCAAAAGTCTGGCAAGATGTAATCTTAGCAGATCTATATTTCAGAAAAATTAAGTCAGGGTGCAGCATTCGGACTCACTTGAAGGTAAAGAGACTGAAGTTGGGAAGAAATTTCAGTAAATTATTATCAAAATGTTTACTGATAATGTGAAGGACTTCTGGTCAACCACTTGCATGTATCTCCTTCCCCTCCTAAAGTCACACTAAAATCTGAGTAAAGAAAAAAGAAAGCAAGCCACAAAAACAAAGAGAATGGGAGTGGAGTAATTTCAACAGAAATTTGGCAGGTGGCAGGCACGAGTGGGGTGGTAACTATTGGGCAAAGCCAGGGAAGCTCTCCCCAGAGTGCTATTGAGGAGGCTACTGATGGAAGAGCTCACCCTGGTCCCAAATACCAGTAGACACACCCACTCTCAAAACTAGAGTGGAAGCCTCATCTAGGCACACAGAGCCTCACCATGAAATATGAATGGAGGTGGGTGTGGGGGCTCATGTCTGTAATCCCAGCACTTTGGGAGGCTGGGGCGGGTGGATCACTTGAAGTCAGGAGTTCTAGTTCTAGACCAGCCTGGCCAATGTGGTGAAATCCTGCCTCTACTAAAAATACAAAAATTATCCAGGTGTGGTGGCGGGCACCTGTAGTCCCAGCTACTCGGGAGGCTGAGGCAGGAGAATTGCTTGAACCCAGGAGGCAGAGGTTGCAGTGAGCCGAGATTGCACCACTGCACTCCAGCCTGGGCAACAGAGTGAGACTCTGTCTCAAAACTCACATTTGAGCAAAGTCTCCAAAATCTGAGAAAGTGACTCAAATAAGGAAACAGAATAAAAGGATCTCCAAGAAAACAGGGACAACACAAGGAATCAAAGTAAATATCAAAACATTATCATTAGTATCTCTAGAGAGATGAAAAAAGGCATTGTACCCTTAAACAAGACTAGGATAGCATAAAACAAGTGTAGGTTGAGTATTCCTAATTTGAAAATCCAAAATCTGAAGTACTCTAAAATCTGAATTTTTTTATTTATTTATTTTTTTTTAAAGATGGAGTCTAGCTCTGTCACCCAGGCTAGCGTGCAGTGGTGCAACCTTGGCTCACTGCAACTTCTGCCTCTGGGTTCAAGCAATTCTCCTGTCTCAGCCTCCCAAGTAGCTGGGACTACAGGTGCGTGCCACCATGCCCAGCTAATTTTTGTACTTTTTAGTAGAGACAGGGTTTCACCATGTTGACCAGGCTGGTCTCAAACTCCTGACCTTAGGTGATCACCCACCTTGGCCCCTCAAAGTGCTGGGATTACAGTCATGAGCCACCACACCTGGCCTCTAAAATCTGAAACTTTTTGAACACCAACATGACACTCAAAAGAAATGCTCATTGGAGCATTTTGGGTTTTGGATTTTCAGATTGGGATGTTCAACTAGTAAGTTTAATGAAAATATTCAAAAATTCAAAATAATCCCAAATCTGAAACACTCTAGAGTCCCAAGCATGGAATACTCAACCTGTATACAATTTATAAAACAATAAATGTCATTTAATGTGGTGTGCTATTTTGAATTCCTCATCAAGTTTTAGAAGTGGGGTAAAAATACTTAGAAGATCTCAGTGCTTTGGAAAGATAAGGCAGGAGGATTGCTTGAGACCAGGAGTTCAAGACTAACCTGGGCAACATAGCAAGACCCCATCTCGACAAAAAAATTAAAGTACATAAATAAAAAGAATTAGCTGGGCATGTGGCACATGCCCACAGCCACAGCTACTTAGGAGGCGAAACTGGAAGGATCGCTTGAGCCCAGGAGGTAGAGGCTGCAGTGAGCCATGGTCATGCCACTGCACTCCAGCCTGGGCAACAGAGTGAGACCCTGTCTCCTAAAAACAAAAAAACAAAAAACTTAGAGGCTCATCAGACTTGAAATTATTCAGAGCAGCACTGATCATGAGTCTGTCCAACTGAAACAGGTTAAATAAATTACATCACCAACACATTTGCTACTTGAAAAAAAATAGGATGCACACATTTCAGGATAATAAATGTTTTGCCTCTGCTTTGCATAACATGAAAACAAAAAACAAGGAACTATCAGAGGATAAGAAAGAGCTCCTAGAAAGCAGAAACATGATAGCATAAATGGAAGGCCTAGAAGATAAAATTGAGAAAATTGCTCAAAAACTAGGCAAAAAAAGGAAAAGGAGATTATAAAATCCGTAGAGTAGAAAGAAGGAAGGGAAAAATTAATCTAAGGAATAATACAAAACAAGTTTCTCAGAACTGAAGGACACAATTCTCAGGATTGAAGGGGTCCACATCTAACATCCAGAACAATAATTATTTTAAAAGACCTAGGGCCAGTCACAGTGGCTCACACCTGTAATCCCTGAAGGCCAAGGTGGCCAAGGTGGGAGGCCAAGGTGGGAGGCCAAGGTGGGAGGATCCTTTGAGCCTAGGGTTTTAAGACCAGCCTGGGTAACCTAGGGAAACCCTGCCTATACAAAAAATGAAAAAATTAGTTGGGCATGGTGGCACATGCCTGTAAGTCCCATCTACTTAGGATTCTGAGGTGTGACGATCACTTGAGCCCAGGAGTTTGACGTTGCAGTGAATCATGATGACACCACTGCACTCCAACCTGGGCATACAGCAAAATCCTGACTCAAACAAACAAACAAACAAACAAAAGATCTCCATCAAGGGATTTTATTATAAAATTTCAGAATACTGGAAATTTGGAATGTTAATGATAAAAAGAGAAGGTATTTCAGAGAGAAAAGATAGATTACACACAGAGGAACAAAAGAATAGAATTAAGAATGGTTTTGGAGCAAGAAGGTAGAAGACAATAAAAGAAATGCTTTCAAATTCTTTTTTTTTTATGTTGTTCAAGTCTCCTATATCTTTTTTTTTTTTTTTTTTAAATACTTTATGTTCTAGGGTATGTGTGCACAACGTGCAGGTTTGTTACATATGTATACATGTGCCATTTTGGTGTGCTGTACCCATTAACCTGTCATTTACATTAGGTATATCTCCTAATGCTATCCCTCCCCGCTCCCCCTACCCCAAACTGGCCCTGGTGTGTGATGTTCCCCACCCTGCGTCCAAGTGTTCTAATTGCTCAATTCCCATCTATGAATGAGAACATGCGGTGTTTGGTTTTCTGTTCTTGCGATAGTTTGCTGAGAATGATGGTTTCCAACTGCATCCATGTCCCTATAAAGGACATGAACTCATCCTTTTTTATAGCTGCATAGTATTCCCAGGGCCCAGCTATAAAACTCATCCTTTTTTATAGCTGCATAGATTACCTGGGACCCAGCTGTATAGGTGTATATGTGCCACATTTTCTTAATCCAGTCTGTCATTGATGGACATTTGGGTTGGTTCCAAGTCTTTGCTATTGTGAATAGTGCTGCAATAAACACGTGTGTGCATGTGTCTTTATAGCAGCATGATTTATAATCCTTTGGGTATATACACAATAATGGGATGGCTGGGTCATATGGTATTTCTAGTTCTAGGTCCTTGAGGAATTGCCACACTGTCTTCCACAATGGTTGAACTAGTTTACAGTACCACCAACAGTGTAAAAGTGTTCCTATTTCTCTACATCCTCTCCAGCACCTGTTGTTTCTTGACTTTTTAATGATTGCCATTCTAACTAGTGTGAGATGGTATCTCATTGTGGTTTTGATTTGCATTTCTCTGATGGTGAGTGATGATGAACATTTTTTCATGTGTCTGTTGGCTGCATAAATATCTTCTTTTGAGAAGTGTCTGTTCATACCCTTTGCCCACTTTTTGATGGGGTTGTTTTTTCTTGTAAATTTGTTTGAGTTCTTTGTAGGTTCCGGATATTAGCCCTTTGTCAGATGAGTAGATTGCAAGAATTTTCTCCCATTCTGCAGGTTGCCTGTTCACTCTGATGGTAGTTTCTTTTGCTGTGCAGAAGCTCTTCAGTTTAATTAGATCCCATTTGTCAATTTTGGCTTTTGTTGCCGTTGCTTTTGGTGTTTTAGACATGAAGTCCTTGCCCATGCCTATGTCCTGAATGGTATTGCCTAGGTTTTCTTCTAGGGTTTTTATGGTTTTAGGTCTGACATTTAAGTCTCTAATCCATCTTGAATTAATTTTTGTATAAAGTGTAAGGAAGGGATCCAATTTCAGCTTTCTACTTATGGCTAGCCAGTTTTCCCAGCACCATTTATTAAATAGGGAATCCTTTCCTCATTTCTTTTGGTCAGGTTTGTCAAAGATCAGATGGTTGTAGATGTGTGGTATTATTTCTGAGGAGAAATGCCTTCAAATTCTCAGAAAAAGAATATTCAGCCCTGATAGGCAAATTATCAATCAAGGGTAAAGGTAGGAAAAAAGATGGTTTCATACCTGCAAGGAGGCAAAAAGAGTACCTCCAATGCAAACGTTCTTGGGAAACTACCAGAAGA